GGAAGATTTGACATCTAACTTGTAGGATGGAAGAAAGATGATTTTAATTCCTGTAAGGGAGATTCCCAGTAGGGAAGATATGACATCTAACCTGTAGGATGGAAGAAAGATGATTTTACTTCCTGTAAGGGGGATTCCCAGTGGGGAATGTGTACAGTTGTATAAGCACACAGCAACAACTTCTTGTTCTTCGCACTAAATATTTCGATAAACACATGTTCAATTTTTTCTATAAATCTTATAGTTTGCAGTAAAACTATGTTTGAAAGATACAGAAAGATAATATAATAACCAGAGTGGCTCGGTTCGTTTAGCTGTTAATGGTATGAATGGTATGACAGTTTCGATACAGGTGACAGAAATTCTATGCGAAGCATTTAATATAACCACAAGAAAATTGTCTCCTAAAATGTTACGACATTGTTCGTTCACAGAACAAAGAGCTAAATATATATATATATACAACGTATTTTCGGTTTGTTTTAAAGCAAAGCCACATTGGGCTAACTGCTGTGCCCACAGAACAAAGAGCTAAATATATATATATATACATATACAACGTATTTTCGGTTTGTTTAAAGCAAAGCCACATTGGGCTAACTGCTATGCCCACTGTGGGGAATCGAACCCCGGATTTTAGCATTGTAAGTCTGTTAACTTACCACAGTCTCATATTTTTTAAGTTGATTGATTGGTTGCCGTTAAGAGCAAAGCTACACAAGGAATTATCTGTGTTGTGCCCACCACGGATATTGAAACCCAATTTTCATTGTCGTAAGCCTGCAGACTTACCGCTGAGCCAGTGGCGGACATTTTCAAAGTATTTTTACACAAGTCTTTGCTTATCAAGTGGGTTTTAATATTTACACTGATTAATCTCATGTCTCGAAAATGTGTTTCTAAACTTTTTTTTTTTTCCATAATATTTTTGGTGCGAGAAAGTAAGTGTAATAGAATTTAAGCATGTAATAACTGATTCAGAATTAACGCACAAGACGTCAGGCAGAAATTCATACGCACATTTCGCTGTAATGATAACAGAAAAACGTATTTAATAAAATTACTTAGTAGTTCCTACGTAACCGACGTAGTACTTTATAGGCCTAGTTTTTGGCAGGAAAGAAGAACTAAGTCACGTGGATTGACGCTGATTACTTTACTTTATGGATCTGCACAAAGTAATGTTTCTTCCTTAGGCAAAGATGATTCGTTACTGTATCCTGTTTATTGTCAGGAAGAATAAAAAAAATACTCCTCCTAATAGTATCCTGATCATATCTTATCCAAAATCCTCACACGTGAAAAACTCGAAGGAAGCAGATTCCCTGGTAATTTAGGGATATACATCCCTATATTCGGGGGTTTGATCCCCGTCACGAACAGAGCGCAGACAGCCCGTTTTGTAGCCTTGCGCTAATGAAACTACAATAAGTATAAACTTAATCGAAAAGCAAATCATTAACCGTTGCTAATTAATTGCTTATTTATTGACTTTGAGGTTCGAGGGTTCGATCCCCGTCACCGAACATGCTCGTCCTTTCAGCCTTGCGGGCGTTATAATTTGATGGTCAATCCCACTATTCGTTGGTAGAAGAGTAGCTCAAGAGTTGGCGGTGGATTGTGTAGACTAGTTGCCATCCCTCTAGACTATCCTACTAAATTATTTGACTGCGGTGGGTTGTGTAGACTAGTTGCCATCCCTCTAGACTATCCTACTAAATTATTTGACTGCTAGCACCGATAGCCCTCGTATAGCTTTGGGCGAAATTCAAAACAAAATAATTGACTTTTTTTTATCCCCCGACGAAATAAAAGCAAGTTTAATGACTGTCAAGCTTGTTTCAAAAGTATACCAATATTTTAACTAAGGAGTTATCTGTTTCATAAATAAATCCGTTTAGGTAGAAATGTTAAGATAGTTAAGTTGAAATTAATTCTAGTTTTGTTTGTCTATATATTTTTTTTCTTACGGAAAAGTAAGTCTGCGGACTTACAACGCTAGAATCCGGGTTTCGAAACTCGTAGTGGGCAGAGCACAGATAGCCCGTTGTGTAGCTTTGTGCCTAATTACAAACAAACAAATTGTTCATGAAAAAGGATTTAAACATTTAATATGAATATATTGTAAAATAAACTGTTCTCCAAAGTAAGTTAATTTTATGATGAACACTTGTCTTGTTTTTTTTTTCTTTAAGTCCGTGCAAATTTCAAATTCTATAATATTTTGCATCAGTGAACATTACATAAAATACAACAAGATTAAGATACCAAATGTTGTACATACAAATCTTAAAGGTCCCCTCAGTAATAGCAACAGAATATAAAAATGGGTGGATTGAATGGATTCCGCGGATGGTATGTGATCCATCTTCTCTATGCAACCTCG